TAAATATTCTGTCAGTTATCCTTTGAAAGTCAACTAGAGCTGCCATGATTAGTCAACTAGTCGACGACTAATCGACTATTAAATTAACCATCAACTATTTTAATAGTCGATTAGTCGTCGACTAGTTGACTAATCATGGCAGCTCTAGTTGACTTTCAAAGGATAACTGACAGAATATTTACATCATTTATTTAATTTTACATGTGACTATCCAGTTTCAGTAAAATTAAGAATGGGTCTGATACCAAATTCGACTGATGTAAACAAGAGCCTCCTTCTCTGCTACACGTTTTGGGCTTGTCCAAGATTTGGTGACTTTGGAAATCAATTTTTGAAAACTTGTCCAAAATATGTGGCATTCCAATTGCACCCTGTCAATTTGTGGCTATTTTTGGCACAGTGCTGTGTAACGATAGTGTCTCCAAACTGCATTCCAACCTGAGGACAGGTGGACCAGAAGCAATGAAATATTAGGTAAAACATACACCTTTAACATAACTCATCAGTTTTTCCCAGCACTCCTGTATGTCAGCTTGAATCATAAACTGAAAAAAAAAAAAGATGAAAAGTTTGTGTCTCACCGCGTTTGAGTCTGATAGAGTTGAGGTCAACCTCTACACCTTCCACGTGAGGCCACGGCACTACCGGCTTAAACTGATTCACCAGGTCTCCTTTGGGTAACAAACTGTCATCCTGTAATCARATATATACAGTAATGGTTACTCATGCTCATCTGAAACAAAAAATATATATTTTCATTAGATCTTCCTTTAGCAGTGAAGGTATTTTCACAGAACTTCATTGAATTAAAATGAAAAGTGAACCTAGGCAGTAGAGAAAACGATGTAAATCCTGCMTCTTCTGTTTGTGTACAGCAACATACAGTATAGTGACAGACACACAAAACTAACTGTGTATTCATAGACAACCAGGGCTGGTGTTAACCCATCATATAACCACCTGCATAATCAAAGATGGCTGACGTGTCTGCTGTACCACTGGGAGTGTTGCTCCTGATTAAAACCTGAAGACCATCAGATGGTAAAGTTACAGAGGATGAGTTATTCCTCTCAGTTAAATAAGTCATGATGAAATCGTCATGTTGGCTGTGAGTGTGTTTGACTTGGAGTGGACTGAAACCTTTAAGAAGCATTTGTTTGAACTTTGTCGAACCTCCCAGAGGAACATTTCTCATAAGGGAGTACAGAAAGATACAATAACAAAACTGCCTCAAAGTTCCGAACCGTATTTTTAAACATTTTGAATGTATTTTAAAGAAATTTTAAACTTGTCAAAAAGCTGTTGTTACTGTTATTGTTTGTCACTAATATGAAGAGCAGCTTCTGGTTGCAAAATTTTAAAAATGCTATATTTTCATTTGTACTTTATCAAATTAATTTTTACAGTTTTTTACATTTGAAACATTTACATTAAACATTTTTAATTTATTTTATGCCCACAATTTTATTTTTTGAATTATCTATTTTG